AATAAAATATGAATTCACAATTTATAATTGAATATAATTGATTTAGAATATATTTACAAACAATAGTTATCTCTGATATTGTATGTATCTCATTGTATATCATTTTTAATTTTTTAATTTATAATTGTACATATTATATATAAATTATTTGTAAATGCGCCATATTCTCTAACAAAATATTTTTTTTATTTCTCATTTATAATTTTATGTTGAAATTTAATTCCGATCAATATTAGTGTCATCTTATTCTATGTTAAATCGGTAATGTTGTCACTAAAATACTAACAATCTTAATAAAAAGTTCTCGAGGCAAATAATTTTGAATGTTGTCTATTCTATATTTTGTCTGTGCTTCTATTTCGCGCCAAAAGCCGTAATAAATAGAATAGGAAAGATTAATAATTATTGAAATTTTAAATATAATCAAATTATTCTGATTTGAAAATGGTTGGAAAAGGAAGAATGTATGTGATAAAACGCGGTAAGTCATAAAGTTTATTATTCTATTGATATTTTGAATAATATTAGTTTAATTCAATTACAAATGTAAAATATTCTAAATTTAAATATTTTTCATAATTATTAGATGGGCGCAAAGAAGATGTTCATTTCGACAAAATTACATCCAGGATATCTAAATTATGTTATAATTTAGATATGGATTATATAGATCCTGTAAGTATATTTATTATTGAATTAATTATTACTATTATTCATAATTTTATTTTGATTATATTTTGTATATTAGTTTATTAATTTTTATTTATTAATTTTTTGCAAAATTATGTATATTTTACTAATAAGGTAGAAAGAAAATAAAAGGAAATTACATTTTTAACATAAATATATTTATGAATGCATATTTTGTTAAATTTTTATGTTTTTTTTCATAGTCTGCAATCACTTTTCGTGTTATCAGTGGTTTATATTCAGGTGTAACTACTGTTGAATTAGATAATCTTGCAGCTGAAACAGCAGCAACTATGACTACCAAACATCCAGATTATGCAATATTAGCTGCACGAATTGCAATTTCTAATCTTCATAAAGAAACAACAAAAAGTTTTAGCGGTAAGACAATGAATATATTTAATTTATCATATTCAATTTTTTTTTAATAATTCAAATCATTTCATTCAAATTATTTCATTTATAGAAGTAATATATAATTTATATCATGTAAAGGAACAATATACAAATAATCAAAAACCTGTTATTAGTGAGAAATATTACAATATTATACAAAAAAATGCAAATAAGTTAAATTCTGCAATAATTTATGATAGAGATTTTAGTTATAATTATTTTGGTTTCAAAACGCTTGAAAGAAGTTATTTATTAAAAATACATGGAAAAGTAGTTGAAAGACCACAGCATATGTTAATGAGAGTTGCAGTTGCTATCCATGGTGAAGATATTAACAAAGCTATAGAAACTTATAATTTTTTATCAGAACGTTATTTTACACATGCATCTCCAACACTTTTTTCTGCATGTACTAGGCAACAGCAAATGTCTAGGTATATTTTTTAAAATTATAATAAAATATGATTATTTATATAATAATTTAAAACTTATATATTTTTCAGCTGTTTTTTATTAACAATGAGTGAAGATAGTATTGAAGGAATTTATGACACATTAAAAAGATGTGCACTCATTAGCAAATCAGCTGGTGGTATTGGACTTAATGTACATTGTATTCGAGCAAGAGGTACACCAATAGCTGGTACACTTGGTGTATCTAATGGTTTGATTCCAATGATTAGAGTATACAATAATACAGCTCGATATGTTGATCAAGGAGGAAATAAAAGACCTGGAGCATTTGCTATATATTTGGAACCATGGCATGCAGATATTTTTGAATTTCTAGATCTTAAAAAAAATACTGGTAAGTTAGAATTATTTTTAATTTTTATAATCTTTTATAATTATTTATAATATTATTTTATAAATATTAATTTTTTAATCAGAAAATTTGAAAAGTAATATCAATAGAAAAAAAAACAAGAAGTTTTATTATTCATTGTGTATATAATAAAAATTATTACAAAATTATTACAAGAAAAAAAAATACTATTTTATTTTGCTTTTATTTTTTTTATTTTTAATTTATTTTGTATTTATCTTATTTTATATATATTTAAAATATAAACCAAAAAAACATAAATAAATATAGAATAAAATACAGTTATTAAAATAGACATAAAAATAAATATAAAATAATATATGATGATTATTAGGTAAAAATAGATTTGTATTATAAATTAATATATGTTTTTTAAAGATTATAAAAAATAATTTAATTATGATTTAATAAATTAAATTTATGTGCAGCTAATATTGCAAAAAATTTAATAAATAATTTAAATTTATGATAAAATAAAATAAAAAAATTTATGATATAATAAAAGAATAAATTTTTAATTATTTATTTTAGTAATATTATATTGTACTATGTTTAATCGCGATTAAACAGGTAAAGAAGAAAATAGAGCTAGAGAATTATTCTATGCTCTATGGATACCTGATCTTTTTATGAAACGAGTTTTGGATAATGATATATGGACTTTAATGTGTCCACATGAATCTCCTGGTTTGGCTGATGTTTGGGGCAATGAATTTGAAATTCTCTATACACGGTAAATTAAATTAAATTATTGAGATTTGAAATTATAAAATTATGATTTGACATTATAAAGTTAGTTATTTTTCTCTCTCTCTCTCTATATATATATATATAAAGATGTTATTATATAATATAATATAATGAAATTCATTGTCAGTAGATTTTTGATTACTATATTTTTTGATAATAATTCAATAATTTAATAAAGTATGCTTATGAAATGTTGTAATTTTTATTTTAATTTTTAATGATTAATAATTTATCAATTTCAATAGTATTTTTATAAATTAAATTATATAAATAATATTAAATTCTTAATTAGGTATGAGAATGAAAAAAGATATAAACGACAAATTCAAGCTAGAGATTTATGGACAGCTATTCTTATTTCTCAAGTTGAAACAGGAACTCCATATATGCTTTATAAAGATCATTGCAATCGCAAATCAAATCATCAAAATATAGGAACAATAAAGAGTAGTAATTTATGTACAGAAGTTGTGCAGTATTCCAGTCCAGATGAAGTTGCTGTCTGTAATTTAGCTTCAATTGCTGTTAATATGTTTGTAAATCCCATTAATCAAACATTTGATTTTCAAAAACTTCTAAAAGTAACAAAAATTGTTACTTGTAATCTCGACAAAATTATCGATGTCAATTATTATCCCATTCCAGAAGCAAGAAAATCAAATTTTAGACATAGACCTATAGGTAAATATTCTTATACTATAAAATATATATTTTTATATGTTTATCATATATTTATCACATATATTTTAGGTATTGGAATTCAAGGTCTTGCAGATGCATTTCTTTTAATGCGCTATCCATTTGAAAGTGAAGAAGCACAAAAACTTAATATTCAAATATTTGAAACATTGTATTATGGTGCTTTAGAAGCCAGCTGTGAACTTGCTGAAGAAAAAGGTACATATGAAACTTATGAAGGTAGTCCAGTAAGCAAAGGAGTAAGTAAATTATAATAAATATTGTATTTACATTTTTTTTTTAATATAGAAATGTCAATATATTAATTATTAATATCTACTTCTAGATTTTACAATACGATATGTGGAATGCTATTCCAACTAATTTATGGGATTGGACTATTTTGAAAAAAAAAATTGCTAAACATGGAGTTAGAAATTCTTTGTTAATTGCACCTATGCCAACAGCATCAACTGCACAAATTTTAGGAAATAATGAATCTATAGAACCATACACCAGCAATATCTATACAAGGAGAGTTCTGTCAGGAGAATTTCAAGTTGTAAATCCTCATTTATTACGAGATTTAACTGAAAGAGATCTTTGGAATGAGGATATGAAAAATGAAATTATAGCAAATAATGGCTCTATACAAGTATCTATTTCATATAAATTCAAAGTATTCAATTATTAAATGCATGATGAAGAATTATTTTAAATAAAAATGTTTTTATTTTAGGACATAGAACGTATACCAGATGATTTAAAAATGCTTTATAAAACAGTTTGGGAAATACCACAAAAAATAATTTTAAAAATGGCAGCAGATCGTGGTGCATTTATAGATCAATCACAATCATTAAATGTTCATATGGCAAAACCAACAACAGAAAAACTTACTTCAATGCATTTTTATGGATGGAAAATGGCAAATAATTTTAATTTCTTCTTTATAATTTATATAAATGATAATTTTCATTATTATTCTATATATTATTCTAATAGAAGTTATTTGAATATATGAAAATATTTTTTAGGGTTTGAAAACTGGTATGTATTATTTAAGAACAAAACCAGCAGCAAATGCTCTTCAATTTACAGTTGATAAATCCAAATTACGAAATACAAGCAATATTACTTCTAATCAATCTATTAATTCTGAAAATGATAATAATGAAGAACTTAATAATAGTTCTCAAAATGGATGGTTACAAGATCAAAATAAAGAAGATGTAGACATAGTACTCGCATGTTCTCGCGAAAATGGAGATGCGTGTATGGCCTGTGGATCATAAATATGATTTTCTTATTTAAAATTATTTAAAATTATATATATTGTATTTAAGTTATGATTTTTATTTAGAATTATAAATGAAAATTATTTCATATTTTTATGAGTATTGCTTTTCAGTATGTATTTTATAATAATATGATATTGAAAAATTCTAAAATAAATAAAATTTGTTATTAATTAATTTCATAATAATTTATTTCTTTATAATTAATATTTAAAATATAAAGATTTGAAATTTCGCGCGAAAATTTTAATAAATTTTAATAAATGTTGATCACTATTGTATGCTTTGTGAGCTACAGTCAAGTGTTCAGGAATAGCGTCACTACGGTAGTCAAGTGAAATGTCAAAATTACAAGCGTGTCGACGTACATAGTTGCGTATCAGTTAACTGTCGAGTAAATTTCGTTTCGTTAAACATCCAAAGTGAACATATTCATTTCAAACTCATATAAGAGTGATTCGGCATTGTGCCGATTAAATATGTAATGGGTTTATTTTTGATTAAAAGAAAATAAGGAAATAATAAAAAAGATTTCTTCTGCAACGAATTTGGGCATTGATGCCCAGCTGATGCATTTTAACATATTTGACAGTTGAAATTGCGTAATTGTTGCTAGGATTTTCTTATGAGTCTTTTTACGCAATTTATCTAAATTGCCGTATAGAATGGCGGATTTGGATGACTTATTTCATTTAGATCAATACGGAGGTCCAGAATCTCTTGCAGAACTATGTTTCCAAGTAATCTGCAAAAATTTAGATATTATCTCGGTGAAGGATAAATGCGAATATCGGAATCTTTTAAAAGGAGTAGTTTTTCCGAGTGAAATATGCGATAAACTTATTGAATATGTTTTACGAAATGATCCGAATGAAGATCATGATCGTTTCTTTACAATTTTCAAGAATGTATGGATAACCAAACTTAAACGCGTCAAAGTTGTAGGATCTAATATAACTGATGATTCAGTACAGATCCTTGCAAATCATAAACTTTTGAGATTAGAACTTACAGATTGTCCTAATTTAACAGATCAATCTATTGATTATATAAATGCAAATGCAGAAAATTTGCATACTTTAGTATGTCGTGGTACTTCTGTAATCATTCCGGAAAAACTTACAGGTAAGAATACTTTATTATTCATTTTCAATTAAATAATTAAGTATACTGTAATTTTAATATAAATTAATTAATAATATAAATATAAATTAATATATAAACTATATATATATAATATTCCATTGTTAAAATGCTTTTTTAATTTTTATTTATTTATAATCAATTATGTGTAGTTTATTTTTTAAAAAGAAAATAATCACAGTCATATTATAATGTAACTATTTTTTTTCAAATTGATAAAAAATAAGTAATATCATCAAAGTTATTTAAATGAAACAATTATAATTATGTGATTATTATTATTTTAAAATTTAATTTTTAAAATAATTAAAATATAAAATAAAATAAAATATTTAAAATAATTAATTTTTTAATCAATATTATTTGTAATTTATATGTATTTATATAACATTTAATAATATATGAAATTAATATATATATTTTTTCTTTAATTTTATTAGCATATCAAAAACAAGGATATGTATTTAAAATACCAAATCTACGGACCTTGGCTTTAGAATATGTTCCAATTTGTGCCTTGGAATATAATATACTCTTGGCTGGATTAACAAATTTAACAAATTTAGATTTGTCCAATAGTTTTGATGTGGGCATTTTTGATTTTTTCCATTTGATTCCTAATTTAGTATCTTTAGTTTTATATAATGTTAAAATTATTTCTCAAGCTCAAGCTTTTGTTAACAATATTTGTCATTTGAAAAATTTAAGGTAATTATTTATTTATTATTATCATTAACTTACACACACACACACACACACACACACACACACACACACACACACACACACACACAATAAAATATTTAAAATTTTTAATTCAATGTTTTTGAAATTAGGCATTTAGATATTTCTCAAATCAATCCTGAGGATGGAGTGTTTGCAAATCCTAATACAATCTTATCTGATATTGTAAATGGTTTGCCTCAATTAACATCTTTAGATATTAGTGGCACAAATTTAGCAGGAATCGAAATTGTAAATCGTGCAATACAAACAGTTGAACATTCTTTTTATTCTGACATGTATAATAATCTGTGTGATATACCAGGTCTTATTTCAAGAGTAGATAGACCTTTACAATTTTTAGGATTGTATGGAGCAAATGATGCACCTTGTAGACGTCGTAATATTCCAGCAAAATTGGTAAATAATAAAAATAATAAGTTATATATAATAATATATATGTATAATAGTATTGTATAATTTATTTCTTATTTACTAATTATTTTGTAATTTGAATTGCTAGATTGCAGGAAATGCAAATGAAGATCAAATATTAGTTGCAGCTCATGTTTATATGAATAATAAAGAAGATTTAATGTTAAAAGTAATAAGTGATTTATATCAAATCTATAGATATGAAAATTGTCACAGAATGGATCAAGCACTTTGTGCAGTATTAGAAGCAATGGAAAAATATCCTACTCAAAAAGATATACAAATATCTGGAAGGTAAATTTCATAAATAAATAATTACAAATGAATAAATTTTATATGCAATTGTATTATATATATTAAAAAATTTAATACGAATATTATTTATATAGTGCAGCACTTTTTTATATTGTAAAAATGAAAGAAAAAGGTGAATTAGAAGCAAGATTGAAAAAAAGAATTGTACGTACACTTCTCATTGGAATGAGTATTCATAAAAATGAAGAAACTATGATGCGTAATGGTTGTCTAACATTATATCAATTCCGATTACCGCAAGATGTGGTATGTATAATCCTTGTTCTTCATATTAAAAACATTATTTCAATTATATTACAAGATATATTTTAAAAAATAAATATGTTGCTAATTATTTTATATATTTTATTAGATGTCACATTATGAAACATTGGTCAAACTACTTTTGCATTTAGCTAATAATGCGCAACAAGAAAGTTATGTTCAACGTATTGGAATATTTCTTTTAAATACATTGGCATGTCAAGTAACAGGTAGAGAAAAACGTTTATTAGGCAATCTAGGTTGTATAAAAACAATGCTTGAACTAATCAAATACAGAGTTGAGTCTAGAACATTTGATGATGTTATGGAAGTAGCTTGGTCAACTATGTGGAATGTGACTGATGAAACTCCTATAAATTGTCAACGATTTTTTGAAGAAAATGGCATGCCGCTATTTTATAGATGCGTTATGGTATGTAAAATTAATATTATTTAATTTATTAATGAAAGTATTAAATTCATATAATATTTTTAAATATTTTATGCTTATAGCAATATTCTCGTAAAGAAGAATTATTGAAAAATATGATGGGATTACTTGGTAATGTAGCTGAAGTACAAAGTCTGAGAGTGCACCTAATGCAACTGCCATATATGGTTGTTTTTACAAATTTAATTCGTAATGTTAGAGAAAGCATTGAGGTATTTTATATAACATAATATATAACATAATTATATTTAATAATTGTATTTTTATAATATCAATTGTATATTTATTTTTTTATAATTAATTTTTTATAATTTTTTTTGTTGTTAGGTACCATATAATGCAGTTGGTATATTAGCTCATATAGCATCTGATGGTGTTGAAGCATGGACAATAGAAAAACCTAGTCGGGATGTAGTTCTTGAACTTATGGTTGAAGCTATTGAACGATGGGATATATCATCAGAACGTAATATTAATTACCGTTCGTTTCTGCCATTATTACGTTTAGTAGATATATATCACACACCACAATGTCAACATTGGGCAGTTTGGGCTCTTGCTAATCTTACCACTGTTTATCGTAAGTATTATATTTTGTAAAATTTAATTTTATTTTAAATTTTAAAAATAAATTTCTTCATTTCATATATTCATATAAAAATATTATATTAAAAATTTTATTATTTATATTATTATATAATATATACATACGCATTTAACATTTAACAAGTTTTATTAAAATCATGATTATTTTTTTTTAATAGCTCATAAATATTGTATATTAGTTATACGAGAAGGAGGCCTTGAAAAATTGAATACCTTAATCTCAGATGCAAGACCATATGAACGTATAAAAGAACTTGCCCATATTGTAATTGAAAATTGTAGTCATTATAGTAGCAACTCCAATGATATGAATGTTCATTCGCCATTAGATGAAGATTATATATATAGTTCAGATGGTTAAAATTCAATTTTCATTACTATAATTCAATAGCATAAAAGTAGAATGTTTTATGTCTGTAATAAAAAATTTTCTAAAAAAAAAGAGTGTGAGTAAGATTATAAAAATATGCTAAAATATTTGTATGTTGATTTGCCAAATTGTAAATTTAAAATTGAGTACTCAGACAATCTTACTCGCACTTTTATTACATGAACATTTCATTGCATATTTTATTTATTACATGTACAAAATATATTTGGACTATTTGTGCAAATATATTATTAATGATATTAAAAAAAAAGTAGTAATTAGTTTAATAAAAATATTTTTGATGTAATAATCTCTAACACTGTCCAAATTCAAATACATTTTTGATTTATGTAAATAACCATGCTGTATTATAAATAAGATGAAACTAAATTTAGACTGAAGTAATTTCTTTAAATAATGAATTACTGATTTAAACTTATATTAAGTTTCTTATACTTATGTGAATTCTTTGTAGATATTTGTATTATAAATAATTTTTCAGTTGCCATTAAATTTTGTTTCATGAAAAAGATTTAAAATAAAAATAAATCTATGCATTAGACTATTATGTAAATAAAATTAAAATGAAATAAGATGAATTAGATTTACAAATTTGTACATCTCTATTACCAGAATTAAAATTTTTTGAAATAATAATGCTGTTGTCAAAATCACACTATAAAATAAATATTATAACTTAAACTTAATAAACTTAGTAAATTTTAATTATTGACTTACGCAATTAGTAAAAAATTTACGTAAATGATTATTTAAATGATCATTACTGTAATCATTATGTAATATTATTGTACGCGTGTAATAAATTCTTGATTTATTTAATATGTAATATAAAAATGGATAAAATTTATCTTTTCTTATTTTCTATTCTGTTTACTTTTATTATTTAAAAGATTTATTATTTTATTACTTAAAATATTTTATATATTATAAATATTAAATTTTATTTTTGATAAATAATTTTTGCATTTTTGCAACATTATGCATATATAAAATATAAACTTGAAGTAATAAGATTCATATTTATTTAATTATATTTCATTACTTATTATTAAAAATTTTTATATAATAAAAATTACAAAATATATTCTATTATTTATTTAAAAATATTATTTAAACTTTTTATTTATATATAAAAAAAAATATATTTATTATATATATTTAAAATATATTTGTTGAATTTTAGTTAAATTTTATAAGATAATTAAATAAATCAATTTTGAATATGTAAAATATTCTAGATAAATGACTGAATTTAAAAAAAATAATTTGAAATATATATATATATATGTGTGTGTGTGTGTATATATATATATATATATATATATTATATATTATTGAAAGACAAAAGAATTAATTTTTTAAAAATTAGAATAATATAAAATAATATATTTTATTTAAAAATTATAAATTAGTTTATGTTCATTAGTTATTTTCAATAAATAAATCGCATAATATAATTAAAACATGAGTATGAATTAAATTGATACTAACTTCCGGTTCTGTTCCTTTATTCCGGACGATCGTTAGAATTTGGAAGAAGAGTGACGCCACAGCCTTTAGGGAAGACGACATTTTATGTGAATCGCGCGTCCACGGCATGTCTGAAGAATTTTGTGCCAAATACTTAAATTTCATTATAAAAATTTTAGTTGCTAAGATTTCATAAAGAAAAATTTACGTACTTTAATAAGGTAAATATCATCTCGTTTATATGAACAGATTTTCCTAGATAAATGACGGTTCTAAAATTCTCGCAGAGTGTGGCCATTAATTTGGAGAATAAAGAAATAAGTTATTGATCTTTATATTGAAAATAATATTAATTTTTGTAAAAAATAATATATTTTATTATATATATATATATATATATATCGTTTTGATATTATAATATTTATTTAGTATAATAATCGTCGAAGCACTTTGTCCAAAACCATGCACGATTGCGAGTGTGATGAAATATGTACATATATGTCTAATTTATGATAATTTTATTTGGCAAACAACTTTTATAATTTACTAATACAATTGATTCATATATCTTTTAAAAAAAATTCACAATTTTAATAATTTAAATGTATAATGATTTGGTATTTATTTTTACATAATATTGTTAATCTTTTCTACTTAAAAAACATATGAACAAATTTTTTAAAAATATTTTTATTAATTTGTTAATTTTTAATTATTTTATTAATTTTTCACATTATGCATAAAAACAATAAATGTATATATATACATACACTTAAGTAATTTCTATTAAAAAAATTTATACATGAATGTATTTTGTATAATATTTTAATGCGATACATAAACATTCCTGTTTTGTCTATAGATCTTTGACACCATATCTGACATGTATAACCCATCTATAAGTTGTAGTTATAGCTACCATAAATACAGGTTGGTAATAAATTATATACATGTAAATTTAAATCCATTTGGATTTTGCATTTTTTTTATATATATATTTTTTACAAATATATGTATATTTTTATTTATTATTATACATATTATTATTATTATTTAACAATATAATAAATTTTCATAAATTTTATTAATATATTCTTAAATAATTATAATCAGCAATAAATATAATAAATACTATATCAAAAATAATATATTTAAATATGGTTTTCATTTTTATATTTTTAATATTTTTATTGGCAAATTATATTACTATTATTAAGAAAATAATAATATATTATATATATATATATACACATAGTTATTAATTATAAGAAAGTTATATTTTAAATACTTTTACTATATTATATTTCTTTCTTTTTTTATTTTTCTTTTTTTTTTTTTTTTAATTTTAGCTCTAATATGAGTTCTCGAGGCCGTGGATTTAATTCTCGGGGAGGCAGTTCTTATAGAGGAAGAGGTGGCGGTAGTGGAAACGAATGGAATAGTGGATCAACAGGAGGAAACATGTCTAGCAGAGGAGGTTATTCCTCGTCTAGAGGAGGTCGATTTAAATATTCAACTACTAGTTATGATTCTCGTTCAAAATATAATTCTGGTTAGTCAATATTTATATTTTTATATTATAATATAATATAAATTAATAAAATGGTTATATAATATATCTATTTTATGAATATTATTTTTATCAAAATTAATATTGATATTTATATTTATAATAGGAGGTTCAGAAAGATATTCTAGTAGAGGAGGAAGAGGTGAACATTCAAATAGTTACAAAAGACCAAGGGTAAATAAATAAATTATAAATTAAATAATTATATGTATATAAAATTAGCATATATGAAAAATTTGCTTTAATAATTTAGGATTCTTATTCTGGAAGAGATGAACATCGTTCATCAAGTGATTCAACTCGTAAAAGGATGAGAAGTGATTCATATCAGGTATGTATTTTAGAAGTTTAAGTATAGCGATATTTTTATTGAAAGACATTTCAAAAAAAGTGTTAGTCTATTTTGTTTCAATCTCCTGCCGTGCTGTGGTCAAGAACCATTTTTTCATCTTGAAAGCCCTGCTTCACAAAAGTTCTCAAATTCTTAAGTTACATAGCATGAAAAAACGATGGTCCTGAAAGTTTTTTTATCTTTAAAATTTAAGTATGCAAATTTAAGTATTTAAAATATTTTGTTCCATATAAAAAATATTTTCAGGACACTCGTCTAAACATTAAAAAAAAAAAAAAATTAAAAAAAGAAAGAAAAGAAACAGTAGGCAAGGCATTCATAAGTCGTCATACTTTCCTTTCAAGCGACGAGCCAACGGCTACTTGAACACCCATTCTTTTTGCGTTGGGACACTACTGGTGGAACACTACGAAAACATCACATAATTAAAAGATGAAATACACCTAGATGGTACTTAATTATTGCCTGCACACAGTTGCATTAAATATTGAGAACAACCTGAAAAGTATCAGAACCAACAGATGACTAGATATATACATATATGTGCGTGTGTGTATATATATTTATAGAAATGTGAATTTTAAAATGTCAACATTACGTCAGTATTGTTCTCTATCTAAAACAATATGTGCAACTGAACCAATTTCCTACACAATGCAGATCAGTTAACTGAAATATTGAAAGCATCCCTACATTGCCGCACCGCAAAAATTTTTAACAAATACTGCTCTATACAATTTTCTAAATTACATCAATTAAAACTTATCATTGAGATAATGAAGTAAATTGTTAATAATGTCAAAGTATCGTAGACCTTTCCAATATAAAGGACATGCATCCTATGTTATATTCAATTGAAAATGAGTGAGAAACATGAACCTTTTTTAAATATATATCTATAATATGTACCTCATATCTACAGGTTGAAGCTAGAATATGTACTGGAAAGCATTATAAAAGCAGTGAAAGTACACAATATATTTTTCACATATTTTATCCTTAAAGAAAATATACAAGGATATAACATTATAACTACAATTTTATTAGTTTTATTTGATTTCTTGGTCCATATAAGTGTGCATAAGGCATTGAATTATATGAAAGAGTGCTTTACAAATAAGAGTATATAAAAACACATCTATCTTTATGCTATTAAAATTGGAAAGGTCTATCAAACAAATAATCCAGAATCATACAGAATTCAGTTCATTTGATATCTTCAAGCAAACGAATGCTGGTCAAAGCTACTATTCTGAACTCGTACCTGAAATGAAATGACAAGACTGCTATTACATTTTTTGAAAACTAAAAATTGTTTTTAATATAATAAATAAAAAAAAGGGATGCAAAGTTATTTATATTTGAAATATGAAAGATAAAATAATTTAGGTGCTTTTCAAGCTTAGGCAAGGTAAATCTATATTTTGGTGATCCAACGGGAATGGGTGTAGTGACCGTAACAGTACAAGGTTGGATGATTTTTATTAAACGATTGGCACTATAATGAATGGTAAATAAGGGAGTGCAAAAGAATCAACTTGGAATGGAATTAGAAAAAATATATGGAGAATATCAGATAGGAGGGAACAAAGGGGAGGAATGTATATAGATTAAAAGAGAGAAGGGCAGGAAAAGAGAAAGATACAATGGGAAGGAGCACAATTGAATTTGATTTGGCAGGGTGGAGGTAGCGGTAGCGGCTCTCAGAGGTATTCTTCGTCGTATGGTGGTTCATCTGCATCAGCTCCTTATGACGATAATAAGGGATCGTCATCTTCGGCCGTGTATGAGGACAAGAGACAGAGCGAACGTGCTTCGTCATACCATCGCTCAGAGGACCGTCATTCAGCATCACGGAGCTATGCACCTCCACCACCCCCTCGAATTAGTGAAATGGCACCTCCAACTCAGAGATATAGCTCGAGCCGAGGGCGAATATCGCATCAAAGCTCAAACTACAGAGGTCGTATTTCAACTCGCGGCAGCGGAAGAGGGGGTGGATTCCATCGCATGAGCTCTCGATCGGACGTCATCATGGCTCGCAAGCGTACTCTACACTCACTCGACTATCGACGCAAGCTGCTAGGATCGCGATCGCGAGACTACATCCAGCGTGTGCGCATGACCACAACCAAATTGCGCAGGAGGTAATTAATTAATAAATCACTTACCAACCGCAATACCGTCCTAGTAGCCTGCTTGCTTATTTGTCAGTAAACGAACTGACTATATCTGACTATAATGACCTGAGAGTCAAGACGATGATAGATATATAAATGGTAAAAGAAAACACAAAAAATGACACAAATGATCGCACGAAACCAATTGTACTGCCGAGAGGCAAACTTTTCGCAGGGTTCTAAATAAAAAAGGGAATTGATTCTGATATGCATAAATACAATGCGTATATCATCAAAATACAATGTAATTACTTTTGATATGAGAACTACTATAATACTTGTACTTTACGAGATCATTATTTATCATTCTTACACATAGCGGTGATTAAAACCAGTATAAGAACGTTGTTTCTTATATATATATTTTAAAACGCGAAAATGCGGAAACATAAGAGCACAATGCAGAGCAAAAAGGCTGAATAGTTAAGACCTTTATTGCAATACGAAATGCATTCATTATGGGGGATAAAAGAAAAAACAAATACTATCGCGATATTTGCTGTATATCAACTATAAGAAAACAAAATTTTGATTGATGATATAATGAAAGACAAAGGAACCAGAACAAGACGAAGGGAAATAATGTAAGTCAAAACAAAATTGCTGTGTCGTTAGTAGCGGTACTACTAGGCTATCCGGAAGTAAAAAGGAGTCAGGATCAGGAACCAGTATGAAGGACAAGGATAGAGAGATGACCAAAGCTATTAACGCTGAATTTTCCGATGACGATGAAGAGGATGATGATAACAAAAGTAATTGGGATGATGATGATAAGGTAACTCCATAGGGCTGATAATATTTGCTCCTATTGTCTATATGCATATTGTGTGCTACTAATGGCAATACTTACTGTAATATTTACCGACATTAATTCAGCCACATGAACGCGATGATGAAGAGGAAGAGGAAGAAGAAGAGAAAATGAAAAAAGATGAAAAAAGAAAGAAAGAAAAGCAAGATCGGGAAAGGCAAAATACCGAAGATGAGGAAGAAAAAGAAGATGAAGTAAAAGAAGATGAAGATGATCGAAAACATGAGGTGAGGCTAATTAAAAAAAAATTTTGCTATTTTAATTATTAGCTTCCCGTTACGATGAACATTTGTTACGCGTATATTTTTAGGATGATGAAGACGATGGGGATGATGAAGAAAGAAATGAAAACGATAAAACAGAACACGGTAGAGCTACTGGTTCAGAAGAATTACCTAGTAGAAGAGATGGGAGAAAATTTATTAAATTAACTTGTCCACATTGCGCTCATCGTAGTGTTACTTTCAAAGAATACTCTTTGCATTTGTATTCGGGCCGTCATAGTGCAGCAATGAGACGAATCGCATCGCGTCATAAAGCAACTTTAACTCGTATGCGTGTCTTGCAACGACAAGAACAACGACGTGTCGAAGCTCGTGATGCTGCGCGTGGTACTTTGCCTTCTCGTACCATGTTCTGTCCGATTTGTAAACTCAATTATCGTTCTCTTAAAGCAGCACATCAACTATCCGATTCCCATCGTCAAATGAAACGATTTCTTACACCATTTTGCCGCACATGTCGTATTCAATTTCGATCACCAATGCTATTTGAAACTCATATGTGTTCTTTGGATCATATTAAGGTACTATCTCTATAATAATGTTAAATCTTTTGAAGTTTTAATATATTTTATACCTATATATCTTTCAGAGAAAAAGTGCATTGAAAGAAAGAATGAACGCTGGCAATGGTGAAGCGGAAGCGGATTCAAGTGGACCAGAAGAAGATGACAAGGAAGTTAATCTTGATAATTTCATGACTTTGGATTCTGTAGGTGATGTTGATGGTAAGTATGGTTATTAAATTACATTTTTATAACAAACGTTAATTTTCATAACAATTATAAATAATTTACACAATAGAAGATGAAGAGTCTCCTGAAAAAAAAAAAGAAAAACCGGAAAGTGAAGGAACAAATGATACAGAAAAGAAACCTAAAAGCAAACAAATGATTAAAGTTGGAGCAGAATATATAAAACGTGTCGAGGTTCAGTTCTGTGAATTATGTAAGCTATATCTACCACGTAGTGAAAATAGTGAAAGAGCAATAGCACTTCATTGTTCAACTAGAAGTCATCTTAAACGGTATAAATTTAAAACGATTTTATGAATTTATTTTTATTTCTTATATGTACAATTGTTGATATAATTTTAATATATTATAGATATGTGCGCGATAATGATGATAAAGCATTGCGAAGGCAAGCAGAAAGAATACATCTGCAATCATCGTCATCTACCAATAATACTTCTACACCAAATGCTGCAAATAGTACAGAAAATGCTAAATCTCCAACTAATTCTGAAGCACCGTCTACAAATAACACATTGCCAGTAACTACAACTGATGGCACTAATATTGCTGAATCTAGTAAAGCAATTGAGCAAAAAGGGACTGTCGAATCTGAAAAGAATATAAAAGACAACAAAAATGGACAAGCGGAAGAAGAAGATGATGATGATTACCCAGGCGATAGTAGCGATAAGTTGTGGGATGATGTCGATAAAGACTTGGGCGATATTTTAAGAGAAACAGAAGCAGGAGGTAAATCAAGTGATGATGAAGATTCTCGTTATGATCGTTTCCGTAATTCAGATAAGAAACAACAACATTCTGGCAAGGATAAAGAAAGGGATAGCGAAAAGAATGAAATAGATGAAAAAGAAAATATAAAAAAGCAAGAAGTGAAAGTAAAAATTGAAAAAATAGATATGTAAAGTCCAAGAATTATTAGTACGTTTCAACCATATCCTAATGTGATTTTATTATTTTTCTACAAAAATTTGTAAAACTTTAAAAACCATAGAAAACATAATATCAGAATTTCATACAAAGCAATTATTTTTTATAAGGTTAAATAGTTATTTTCAATCAAGTTGACAAAACTCTATGTATAATACTATATTTGTTCTCTATAAGTTTGTTGTAAAAATGTTGTAAAAATGCGTAATTTAAACATTATTTGTTTCATATAAAATTGTGAGTATGAAACTGTGTTTAGATTTTTATTTACTAAATACTGGACATGCTTGAAATGTACACATTGATATAAACTTCATAATGTTCAATTCCTTTGTAATTCAAATAGTCACTATGTACGCACATTCAGTGACAATGTTGACAAGAACTGTTGTAAAGGAAATTATTCATATAAGCATGTTAAGTATAGTTATGTAAAAGTAGCGGTTATTTGTGCATTGAAAATTTGATGGAATCTACAAAAAATAACAAAAATATCTAATTAATTTCTAATTATTAATGTAAATGAATATATAACAAAATCGATAAACTTGTCACTTTTAGATAAGTGTAATAAATATTATATACATCTTAATACTATGATTTGTGTTTATCTTGTAATTTAATAGAGCAAATTTTTCAATAATTAAGATTTATTGAATGAATTTTTGTTTATGTATTATATTTTCAAAATATTTTATAAATATAACCACAGACTAGATAAATCTAATATTGAGATTTTGTGTTTTAAAATATTGACAAAAAATCAGAATGTTTGATATAATTTCTACATTTTATAATAATGGTGAGTACAAAAATTATATTTAATTTAATCATAAAAAAAAATTAATAAAAATCAATTCTCGTATTATATTCATTGCATTGTAGATCTTTAACATTTATATTATACATTTATTATATTTTATTATTTATATTAAACATAATACTATTAAAGTTAAATTTACTTTTATATATTGGTAATATACAATTGTAAATGTAATTATTTGTGCAATATAAACAAAAAATACATAATTTAAGATTTTTAATGAATAGGTTAAATTAGAAGACAATAAAGTTAATTAAAAACTTTCTTCATAAATTTTGCAGAGTTGATAGATATAGATAAGAACAACAAATAGTAAAATAGAATAGATAAAATAAGAATTCAAGATATGCATCATTTTTTGAGTGTTTTTGATTTTGAAACGATCTTTAATATTCAATATTTAGATGGCATTAACTATCAATTCTTATCTATTACTTATTACTATTACTTATTATTATTTTTATCTTATTATTTATTCAATTTTATCTATATTAATTTTATCTGTGGCACTTTAGAAATGGAATTGAATCTGATCAAATAGTAAGAGAAGAATATAATGGCAACAATATAATCCGCAAAATAAAGCTTTTTTAAGCATCTATTACTTTTGATTTTATACATTGTTAAACATAATGATTTAAGATTTTTTAAACATTAAAAAAAATTATAATTTTTGATTTACCAAATTCTATAGGGCGTCACTAATCAAAGTTTGGGATATTTTATGATTTTGATAAATCTCTAAACTTAATTTTAGATTCTAACAATAGAGACACCCGTTTTTTATATAGCTGTTATATGACATCTTATTTCTCCCATTATTTTCAAAATAGGAATCATGTGACATCTTTGGATATCAAATATTGTAAAAACTATTCTATACTTTATTTGTAGTTATACATAATCTAAATTCATGTAATACATCAGTTAGTAATCAGCTGTTCAACTATGTCATTCATATTTTTTGTACATGACTGCCTATTGATCAACATAATGCCGAAGCACAGTATAATCAGTTGTTGATATGTTTTAGATTGAATAAATATTTTTAAATAATTTTTATAACAACTAATAATTGACAGTGAGCTTCTGCATGAACACGAAATTTGTAGCATAAAATTATAGTATTATTAAAGTTATATAATATCATATACATTGTCAGAAATTTTACAAAAGGAATAGTGTGTGAAGAGGTTAGATTTATATGTTCGTTTGACAGCATATGAAGGTGAGATCTGATGCCAAATTAAGATCATAAATAAAGTAAAAACTAATTATAAATTATAATATATATATATATATATATATATATATATAAACGTATAAAAAGTCATTATTCTTAAAATAATTATATTTCTGTAATCTTGAATTGTGGAAGATGCGATGCGTATAAAATTCTACACAAGGTTAGATCATCTTTGATGTTTGACGTTAGATCTTAATTTTGTGTCAAACTTGTGTATGAATGATATAAAAATTTATAATAATAATAAAAAAAATTTACATAGAAATAAATTAAATATAATGCTAATCAAATAGTATTTTTAAATTTAAAATATTTATAATATCATTAAAAACAGATAATATAAATAATTATAAAAGATTATTAATTTATTTATATCGCATAAATAAATCATTGATTAGAATTTCAAAAAATATATTCATTAAAATATTATTTTTGAAATATATATATATGTTGAATTTAAATTTTATTACAATATAAAATGAATTTGTATTATTTGAAATGAATAATAATATATTATAAATAATATCAGAATCTTCAGAAAAATAATGGGTCAAACACTTAGTGAACCTGTGACAGCTAAGAATTTAGCATGCTGTAGAAATTCAAACTATCGAGTTGGAAGTTCTTGTATGCAAGGTTGGCGTATCAAAATGGAAGATTGCCACGTACATATACTTTCATTACCTGATGATCCTGGTACTGCATTTTTTGCAGTATATGATGGTCATGGAGGTAAGAATAAGATAAGAATAAAATTTTTAAAGCAAAAATATAATTAAATTGTTTAAAATTATCTAAAAAAGATTAAATGTTGATCAATATAATACATATTGAAAACATATATTATTATATTAATTATATTAAAAGAAGAATTTTAAAAGAAAATTTCAAATTTCTATATAAATTTCTATTATAAATAATATTAATAGGTGCAGCAATGGCACAATATGCTGGAAAACATCTTCATGAGTATATAACTAAAAGAAGTGAATATAAAGCAGGTAATATTATTCAAGCAATACAACAGGGTTTCTTGGAATTAGATAGAGCAATGCAAAATGATGCAGCACTTAAAGATGAACAAGCAGGAACTACTGTTATAGCACTTCTTATAAAGGATAATGTTATATATAGTGTAAGTTCTTCTTTAGTTAATTTTTTTTTTTTGTTATTGCTATTATTATTTTATAAGACTATTATAGGCAAATGCAGGTGATAGTAGAGCAGTGGCAAGTATAAATGGTAATGCTATTCCACTTAGTCGTGATCATAAACCAACATTGAAGGATGAACGTGAAAGAATTGAGGCTGCTGGTGGTTGGGTTGAATTTAATAGAGTTAATGGTCAACTAGCATTAACTCGTGCTCTCGGTGATTTTATGTTCAAACGAAATGAACGTAAATCTCCGCAAGAACAAATTGTTACTGGTAATCTTAAATTTCTAACAAAAAATTGTTTTTTTGTTAAAATTATGCTAAATTTTTATAATTACAGCTTTTCCTGAAGTTCAAGCTTTTCAAATAACAGAAGATTGGGAATTTGTTGTTTTGGCATGTGATGGTATTTGGGATGTAATGACAAGCAATGAGGTAGTTAATTTTATAAGAACACGTTTAGTTCAATCGAAATTCGGAACAAGATTAGAACAAGATACATTGGATCCTGAAGAAATTTGTGAAGAACTTATGAAACATTGCCTTGCACCAGATGCTTTAATGGGTACTGGTTGTGATAATATGACAGTCGTTCTTGTATGTTTTCTTCATGGAAAACCATATTCTCATTTGATTTCACGCTGCAAAGAATCCATTAGTACAAATTCTTAATCACTTAAATTATTAATATTTTATGTGTCGATTATTTTTAAAAATTCTTTATATTTAATTTTACATCATAATGAAATAATATTTCATCATCATATTTCATCAAAAATTATAAAATTTACTAATTTTTTTATGAATTCTTATTGTTTTTAAGTTTTATGAACACAAATTTTTTAAAAAATAATTGATCTCTATTAACAGTATTTTTCTCATCATATAATTATCATGACATCTTATTTATAATTTCAAAAAGCAAATTACAAAAAGAAACTGAATTACAAGTTTTTATTTACAATTTCAAACAATGGACAAGCAATGCCCAGATATAGGTTTAGTAACAACTTTAGTAAAATGCAGTAAGTTTTCATTCAAAGTCCATAGCGGTCTTGTAAAGAAGAAACAGCCGCATTGGCAAGAGAACTCAATCTGCCTGCAACTTTATATACTCCTTGACGTACACTTTCTCTAACGTCATCTAAATCGACATCAGCTCTTCCACCACTAAGACGCATTGACAAAGAAGCAGTGGGAGATGTTGCTGTAGAATTTCCTGTGCCAAAATAATCAGCTGATGAAATACTAGAAGAACCTTCAAAACGTCGCAAATTACTTTTACGTTCCCACTGTAATTAAAATCAAATATATCAAATTTTATTTTAAATAAAAAAATAAAATATAAAAATAATATTGATATAATATAACAACTCACAGAATCATCATCTTTGCTGTCTTGAAAATACTGATCTGAACTAATAGCCTTGGCACTACCAAATTTTTTTTGTGCTTCTCCTTCTACCATTATTTTATTATCAGTTTTACCAACATTTACTTTATTTGATGGAACTATTCGTTTTGGTGGTTCTGGCTCTGCAATCACAATAACTTCTTCATTGCGAGATTTATTATTTGTATTGCTATTGTATGGGGTTGATAAGGCCGCATAAAATTCATCTAAACTAATAAAAAGATCTCGTTCAATATCAATATCTCTTGGTCTTGGTTCAGAAGCAGTTATAGTCTTTGATGATGTTTCTTGTGTTATTGTTCTCATATCACCAAGTGCAGAATGACTTGCACCACTGTAAATTATATACATTTTAATACATTATATTGTGTTTTTATAGTATATTCATAACTGTTCGTGCAGTCTTATTAAATAAAATTATAATTCTTCATTTATATATATATATATATATATATATATATATATATATATATATACAAGATATCTCAAAAATGTTGAACATCCATAAAGTGGAGATTCCTGAAGTAATTTCAAGTAAAATTTTTCTTTGGAAAAATTTTCTTGACGATTTTGTTAACGAATTATTAATAAAAAATATTAATCACTTACGTAGTCTAATACTAATAGTCTAATACTCGATACTAGCGTTGATTATATATTATCGACCGAACATGAGAAAGTCCAAACAACATATCTCGAAGAAAGTATATTGAATATAACAAATATTTTTTTATCGATAAAAAATTACATTGAATTATATTATAAACAAATAAATAAATTATATATATAATATAATATTTAATATACTTTGAGATATTATTATATTACTTGGATATTTTCATGTTCGCAATGCTATTGCCCCAGCTCAATTAAGCTACGTGCTTTATTGGCTAATTTTTTTTTATTAATATCTTTTAATAAAACCATAATAAAAGTTTTTATAAAAGAAAATATTGCTTAAAATTTCAGGAATGTCCAGTTTATAGATGTTCCAATATTTTTGAAACATTGTATATATTCACATATATATAAATATATACGTACATTAAATAAATAATTTTATAAATAAAATACAAACATTACCTTCGTGAATTAAATCCCATACCAAGACGTTCTGCTTGCGTTGCTTTGGAAGGATCTAATTGTTTCATTTTCTGTTCCATTTTTTTAGCTTGTTCATTTAAATTCTTTTCATAACGATAGGCAAGACGAGTAGCAAATTCCTCTTGTTCTTTTTTTATATTTTCTTGATTATCTTTTTCCTGTGGCTCTTTAGTAGCTTCGGCAACACTTTTTTCTAATTCATCAAAATTTGTTTTAACTCTCTGAGCACCTAATCCACCAGCTTTTTTTCCGAACTATTATAGAAGTATAAAAATTATTAATATTTTTTTTTAAATATATTAATATTGTAATTAATATAATTTTCAATTGTATTAGTATTAAAAAAATTAAAAAATAACTTATATAATTAATTACCAAATTACACTAAAAATATAATAAAAATATAATAAATATAATAAATTACACTAAAAATAAAAATAAAAGATCAATTATATGCATGATACATACACCACTTCGTTTATTCTGAATTTTTCTGACACCTATGGTAGATTTCCTCTCAGATATCAAATTTGAGGTAGAATCAGATAATTTAACAGTAGGTCCTAAAGAATTAGCAGCACTTTCTAAGCAATCTTTTTGATTATTTTTGTTCTCATTATTTAATATAGAATTACAAGTTGAAGAATTAGAAACTGAATTTTCTTCAGTATATATTGAAGATTTATTATGTGCTTCAGTATTTTCATGTTCCTTAAAAAAATCAATTTCACCTTGTTCTTCGGACATTAATGTTGGACCTTCATCCAAATGCAACTACAATAAAACATAATTTTTGAGAATGCAAATCTTGAAAAAAAATTTTTTAAATTTAATTCTTTTTGTAATGTTATATTTTATGCAAGATACACACATATGGATAAGTTAGTTATTAATAAAAATACTTCAAAATAATTCATCAGTGTGAATAAAACAGAACATACAATGATATATAAATAATTTAAAAAAAAATTGTGCTATTGACAATTGAAAGTAAAAATAATCATATATCAATTTTTATAAAATTATCTTTTAAAATAAAATGTTAAGCAAATTTAATTTGATAACGTTTTTGTGAAAATAGTTTTACAGCTCACCATTGTCTTATTTTTTGTTGAAGGAAGAATAACCTATAATTATCACATATTTGTAGTTATAAAATGATTAACTAAAGTGTATGTTCTGTATGGAAATATATATAAATAATATAAATTTTACCTTTGTTCCATAACGTCTCATTGCTTGAGCAGATGCTTGTGCCAATTTTTCTCTATATTGCATAGCAGCACGTGAATTATATTTTTGCTGAGCATCAGTTGTTGAACAATTGTGTTGTGCAAAATATTTTTTCTGTAAAATATAATAAAAATTTACTTAAAATCAATTATTAAAGAGTTTCAAATAATGTAATAAAATAAAAATAAACTAATTATAGTAATTATAATAATAATTAATAATTTTAAATTTTATTAATATGAACACCAACAGCATTTGCATTTCCACCCAATTGCATATTTCTCAATTGTAACCAAGTCCAATTTGTATCAAGTTGAGTAGATCGAACAAATGTTAAATGAACTCCTAATCCTCGATGAACTGCAGAGCAATCGATACATAGGAAAACACCATAAGTTACACTGGACCATGCTGGATTTTTTGCATTGCAATCAAAACATGTCTGGAAAAATCATAATATTATATCAATATTCTATATTATAATAATATATAACTAATTATTCAATTATAAATTTCATTAACGATTATTAAATTCTTTTTAAAAATTAAAAAATTTTATTAATATTTTTAAAAAATAAATTGACATAAAATATCTTATGAAATATGTTTGTCATTATAAAATTCTAGGAAAATTACAGGTTGGGAATTAAAAATATGACATTATGTTAAAATTATTGTTAAGTCTATTATTGTATAGTTTTGTACAGTTTCATATTTAATATCATAAAATAAAATAATAAATGAAAAAACAAACCTTATTTGTCGGAATAGCTCGTAATCTTTTAAAAATCTCTTCAATATCACTTTTACTAGGTGCTGGATCTGCCATTTTTGACGTGTTGTCAATGGCCTCGCAAAGTATTCTGGGACGCGTGGCGATGGTAAGGATATTATACTTAGAGGTCGCTTATTTGCAAATTGAAGTTTAATTTAAGTTTAAAACAAATATTGATAATATTTTAAATTCAACTGAATATTGTAACTTAGATAATTGCTAATTATTTTTATACATTTAATATATAATATATATAATATATATAATATAATATAATATATAATATAATAGAGAAAGAAAAAGAAAAAAATGATATATAATAAATAAAACAACATATTTTTATTTTATTTTTTTATATTAATGAATTTTCTTATTAATTTATTAATAAATTTATATACTTAATTTAATAATAAATTTATTAATTATTATTAATTTTATATAATTATTATAAATTTATTATTAATTAATTTAATAATAAATTTGTATTTTTAATTTTTATTATTTTAGAAATATTATTAATATTAAAAATTTATTACAAAATTTTTTTTACATGAAAAAAATATAAAAATTTCATATATTGATAAACTTTCCTTTTAAATTTTCTTTTAATAATAAATTTATATTCAATTTTAGAAACATTACTACTATTGAAAATTTATTATAAATTTTTTTTTACATGGAATAAAAATAAGGAAATTAGAAATTATATAAGTAATATTCAAATATTATATGATTATTAAGACTTTTTTTTATCATTTGATATATCAGATCGTTGTCCAGTACTTGGAGAATCACTTACATTTACTTCTTCTTCTTCTACTTCCAAATTATTTAATCTATAACCATTAATATTATAATGCTATATATAAAAATTAATATTTATATAAATAACTTACTCATCTTGTTCAAGATTATATAGCATTTGGAAACCAGCATCAAGACTAGGAGGAAAACCCATATCAGGATCTAACAATTGAAGAGTTGGAACTTCTCGATAAACATTACCAAATTCATCAAGTTCTTCAAATTGCAATTTATTAGCTGCTTCATCTAAAACAATCCTATAAATTGAATAAATATTAGAAATAATTTTTTTTTTTTAAAAATATAGTAACTATTTCATTACAATTAAATACTTAGAATTATAAGCATTAAGTTCAAGTTGCCTCTGTTTTTCCATCATTGCTTCAACTTTTTTTTTCATATTTTCTTCAAATTTTAATATATATTCTTGATAATAGTCATGAAGAGCACATATACCACCAATTCCTGTTTCCAATAAAACTCTTTCTAACATATCCTATACAAGAGAATCAAATATATATTTTAAAAATTTTTTATTTTTCATAGTAAAATAGCAAAAGTAAAATAATATGAAATGAAAATAAATGATTATTAATTAATTAATTTTATATTACTGGAAATCCATGATCTTTTTGTTCATATGCTGCTTTCATTAAAAGCGTCATTCTTCTTAAAAAATGACCAGCAATATCTGTAAGTGTTTCTATAGCTATATTTGAAGATTTTTCAAATCCAATATGTGCTAAAAGAATAATAACTGCATGCTTCAATATATAATGAGATGTTTCTGGTGTAAGATAATGTATTGTAGAAACTTCTTTAAATACACTTCTAAAAAAAATTATATTAATTTTTTATTGAATTTCATGTTTTTTATATTTATATATTTTAATACCTTTCTTTTTGTATTGATAAATTATGAAATGAATTTTGTGTTTCTTTTTCTTCTTGTAAATCTTGTGTTTCAATTGTTGTCATATTTCCTAATACCATTCCTTCTTCCTATAGTTAATGTAAATATTAATATACAAAAATAAAATCTATATATATTTTTTATTAAATTATTACCATTATTCTTAATTGTTGATGAAGATTTATAGTATTTAATACATGAAGATTTCCCATAGGTAATCTATAAATAAAAAAGAAAAAAACTATATCATATCCTAAATATAAGATTTATTTTTTAATTATGAATAACTTTACTGAATATATTCAGATTGCCTGTCTATTTGAAAATCACAATCAGGATTATTTGATTCTTCCATAACTTGTCTCCAAACATTTTCTATGATATCTGGAGTTATTACTTCTTGTTTTAGAGTTTCTCTTGCAGGTAATTCTCCCCATAAAGAACCAATTCCACTATTTTTAGTAGACTTCATTGTAAAACTATGACTGATATAAAATATATTGATTTTTATACTTTTCTTTTTATTATTTATCATATTTTAAATATATTATAGTAACATAAATATATTATATATATTAAATATAATATATCTAAATATTTCATTCTTTCCATTTTTTATTATATTATATTATATATTAAGTATAATATGTATAAATACTTAATTAAAATTATATTATATTTAAAAAAATTATTGTCATATATTTTTTGAAAATTTACTTAATAACATAAATGATAATAATTTTGTTGAAAATAATTTTTTACATTATAAATTAAATTTAAAATAAAAAAAAATTTTGTACTAGTAAAAACTTTCAAATTTTAGTGTTTTCATATATAAAATACATATAAAATAATGCATATAATATTTTTTCTATTAAAAAACCCGCGTTCACATATGTATATAGCTTATGCGCTATGACACTATACAGAAGACATCATTACATTTTGGTTAAAAACTTATAATAAAACAACTATCTAGTTTAAGAATTATAAGAATTTCGAATTTGTCTATCAATATTTACGACTTCTTTAAAAATGATCTTAAAAATTATCTTTTCTGAGGTATTTAATAAAATAAACAAAGATAAATTTCAATTAATTTGCATCTCACTTAATTTATATACTAGTAATACTTGATAGGTTACTATTTGTGAGGTTAGAATTATATTATAGTTGAGCGCCATAATTTTATTTCATTACATTGATTAATCGAAGTAGTTTTCGATATATTTAAGAATCGATATTATTTCAAGTATATAATAATAAAATAGACTATATTATGAATTATGAATTTTTATATTCTACAATTAATTAAATAAATAATAATTAAGTTTCAAATATATTTTATAATATATTTTTTATCTATCCATTTATATATATTATATATTATATATAAAAGTATTAACAATCTGATATGAACATATTTATTTAGATTATTTTGATAATAACGACAAGATATATTTTAAAATATTTATATTTTAAAATATATTTTAAAATTATGTTCAAATATTTTAAAAATTATAATCAATTATTATTAAAAATTTACGATTCATTAAATATCGATTTTCGTTATCTTTTGCGCATGCACAGTACATCACGTATTGTGATGTACTTTCCATTTTTTTAAATATTCTCTCAATAGATTAGAAATTATCTAAATATTAGAAAAATATGTATTATATTTTAAACGTATATAATTATTTTTAAAGTATAATTTATTATAATATACACACAATGGAAAGCGCGGCAGCTTCAATATTAAAACGAGCAGTAGAAATGGATAGCAATAAACAGTATACAATGGCCTTAGTATTATATCAGGAAGGTATACAAATATTACTTGATTCTAAAAAAGGTAATATTATACATATATTTTATTAATAATTTTTTTTTAAATTATAAAACTTTTTTTTATTAAGTAATACATCTTTATTTTTATTTTAATTTATTTAAAATAAAAAATCATTAAATTATTATTTCAATTTACCTGTAATGTATTATAATTAGTAAATTAATGTAAATTATAATTATTCAATATTATAAGTTATGAATTTATTATGAAATTAGTAAAATTATAGAAACAACAGATCCAGCTAAGCAAAAGTATTTTGCTATCAAGGCATCAGAATATTTGGATAGAGCAGAAAAAATAAAAATTTTAATTGAAAAAGAAAAGGCAACTGGTACATATAGAGAATTAATTAAAATTGAAACTGATAGCATAGGACATGGTTATGGTACTGTTTTTGGAAGATTTTTAGATGCAACTGTTACATATATTAATATTGAAGATCCTTATATAAGAGCATTTCATCAGGTATTATTTAATTTTAATATAGTTTATAAGTTATATATTAAATTTTAAATTATATTTAAAATAAAATTAAATTATATTTAAAATATATTTTAAATTAATTATATTTTATTTCTAGTGTCAAAATTTTGTAAGATTATGTGAATTAGCTGTAAGAAAATGTCATGCATTATCTAAAATATCTTTAGTTACAACTCTTGATCCAGATGATAAAAAAAATCAAATAGCAAGATTAAATGAATTAAAACAAAGTTTATCATCTCATCTTATTTCTTTTGAATTTAAATTTTCTGATACTCTTCATGATAGACAAATTATGTAAGAACATATCTTAGTTATATGATGATATTTATTGCTATATTTTTTATTACAAATTGCTATATTTTTTTCTTTTATATTTATATATTTATATTTATATTTATATTTATATTATATTTATATTTATATTATATATTTATATTTATATATTTTATATATGATTAATTATATTTATAATATAATGATTAATTATATGATTAATTTATATTTTATATATGATTTTATTTTAGACTTAGCAATGGCTGGATAATTAAAATCGGTCGTGGATTGGATTATTTTAAACCACCTAATGGAAAATTTGTATTAGGTGCTTGTGATCTTGAACTAAGACCTTGTTCAGAAACAACTATAGATATATTTCATAAAAGTCAAGTAAATAATGATCAAAAAGTGATTTAAACTGTAAATTAAATAATAATATTTTATAATAATGATAAATAATTAATAATGAAAAAATTAATTTTATATATTCATTACATTTAATTGAATTTAAATTATATAATTTTTATAGAACTTGACTTGCATTGCACAGAATTACAATTTATATTATAAGTATCTAAATATTGAAAAAGAGAATATACTATTTTTAACAGTATTTTTTATACTTTTTATATCTATAAATCAAGATTTTTAACATAATGTATATATTATATCATATTTAGATATATAAAGATATATAAGAGATATATTTAATAAATATATTTTTAGATATATTCAATAGATTTATTTTTTTTTTATTATATAAAAGTATAAATATAAAATATTTATCTCGTTTATCTCATAAGATACAACATATGTACAACTTTAATATTTTAATCTTATATTAATCAATATATTAATTTTAATTTAAAGTACTAGAATCACTGGCCTTTGCAATATCAATTTGTTTTGCGGCTTTCCTACATGCCTTTCTTAAGGATTTTGTATATTTTAATAATCCAGCTTCAATTTGATTTTCATCTTCAGTTAAAAGATCTTCAGCTCTGTATGATGGAAGACAATCTGCACCTCCGACAGCAACTACTTGTCTTGCAATTTCTGGATCCACACAGAGTCTTGTAAGTGCTGCGGCAGCAGTAATTTCTAATCGTCTATATGCATCCTCTAAGCCAGGAGGTCGCATTCTAAGAAAAGAAACTAATGCAATAGAGGCACGAACTTTTGCTAAATATATTCGAGCTTCAGGTATACGCGCTAGTTCACTGATAAGAGCTGCTACTTGTTCCATTAACCAAACATTTCTTCCAGCTGACTTTTTCACAGTTTTTAACAGTTTTTTAACTGTTTCTTGTTCTAATATCACAAGAGCATATTTTTTGGATTTGGACAAGTGATTGAATGCAGCTGCAACTAACAACAAAGTCTGCCCACAATTGGTATTTTCGACTAGATAATTTAAGGATGGTATTAAATCTTTTGCAAAAGATTCCAAATAAGGTAAACCTACACCATTAACCCAAGGTGCAGTAATCTGCACAAGTAACGCTGTTGCTTCCATTTTTTCCTTCTCAGTTGTATTATCTGCGACTAATAGATCTGTTAATATTTCTGGACCACCATCTTTAACAAATTGGTTTATCGCCATGGCGGAACTACATACACTTGCTAATGCTCGTAAAGAAGCTGCGACGAAATCTATTGATGTTTTTCCAGTAGTGATTACAGATGTCAAAAGTGCTCTAATACCTAAACATCTTGTAATACTGCTTCCTGCTCGAGGTCCTGCTAAGCCTAAAGCAGTTAAAGCTGCTAAAGCACCTCTAGTTAATGTGGTATCATCTTTCGGTGCTTCTTCCAATCCTCTGACTACTCTCTATAATATGATAATTTTAATATTATATTTTTTTAATGTATATTTTTTATTATTAATTATTTCACAATATTATACAATATAAAATCTTACTTCGATATAAAAATCTAAGCGAGTATTTACAGCACTGTCGACAAAATTCTTCATATTTTCTAATTGCGATAATATTTCTTTTAAACTGTTTTGGTGAATTTTACGTGGGGATGGTATACCCAATTCCGAAAGCAGAGAAAAAGCGTCATCTTCTATGGCACGTAAAAATTGTTGTTCTAATCTATCACTTTCTAAATGTGATATTTTGCTGTAAAAAATAAAATCAGTTATTAATATCGTTTATGTTATCTTTTCTATATTCGATATCATTTCTGTAACTTCGTCAATTTTAAAACTTACACGTAAAATTTTAAATTATTCTCAAATATACTTACTCAAAAATATATTGATAATGTTGATCAAATTGTTCAGCTCTAATAAGTAATTTATTTGCAGCTGCAGTAGCTAAAGATGATAAATTTTTCAAATCAATCATTTCACCTTTTTCATCCAAAAACTCGCGATACTTTCGTCGTGGTAAAGCTTTGCTCTGAAGAGTATTGTTACATTCATTGTCTGTTTCCATTGCAAGATCACTCAACCATGTTCTTATTGATGAAGATTGTCTATAATTTCTGGAATGTAACACAGATTTATAAGCTGGTTCCGTTTCTGAAAAGTTAATTGCTATCGATGAATTTGCGCTTCTTGGTGTAGCCACATCTTCCGGTGGTTCAGTTGCATATAAAAAATCACCGAGACATTCATCTTCCAAAGAAACAGAAGAAGGAATTTTTGATGTATCTACTTGATTATCTTCTGTTCTGTAAAAAATTTAACATAAAATCTAATTAATAAAATGAAGCCAAAATAAAAAATACAATATTGATAATAATTTTTCATATTTTTCATATTAATCATTAATTAATTATTATAAGATTTATGAAAGAAAAATAAACGATTCATACAAATATAATGAAATTTTACAAGTATAAAATTGTTTTTTTTTTAAACATTTGTTATTTATGTTTAGATTAAAGAAAAAAATTTTTTTTTCTGTTAATATTTAACACTTAATTTATCTTATAGATTTATATTTTTGTAATAAAAATAATTTAATCCGTTAAGTATGATGCTCTATTTTAAAAATGTTTAAACAATTTAATTGTATCGCAAAAATGAAAAGATGATGAGTATATTCATCATAATACAAAAATTGTCATTTCTTTATGTACTTATCATATAGCTAATAGATTAAAGAACAATATCAATTTGATTTTTATATAAGTCTATATCTTCAATTTTGACTTCTTTAATTTTTACATGTACTTTAAATATATCATTTAGTATATTAATAATATATAAAATTATATTAATTATATAATAAACAAAGTTTTTTTCATTTTTCAATACGCTTACTCTTTAATATTTTTAATATTGATCGAATTTTACTAACAATTTTTATAGTATTAAAAAATATAAATAATATTCTTCATTTTTTTTTTATTTACTTTTTCACTTAGATATTTTTATATTGTTTTATTATATTTATTTCTTTCTTTAATAAAATTTATTTCTTTCTTGAATAGATTTATATATGAATAAATATTCAAAATTTAAAATTTCTATTTTAAAAACAATTTCTGTTAAAAACAAATTAAAAAATTGTATACGTAATACTTGAAATATTTTTTCAATTTATATCGTGATTATTTCAATATTAAATCAAATATTAAATATTTTTTTATTCAAACAAAATCAATGTTTTCGAGAAATATTATATAGATCAAATTATATATCGCATATCAATATTATATATAGATCAAAGAATTTGTAAAAAAAATCCGTATTTTAATAATAAACTTTTCCTTATGCTATTTTAAGATAAAAAATATTATTCTTTTTCTTAATAAAAATTCAATCTCCAAGCGCATCATATAATAAATTTATCTTCAAAACCATACTATTGATTTAAATAAAAAAACCTCCAGTAATTCAATCATATCATAACAAAATCTTTTTCTATTTTATTTCAATAATAAAATAGCATTTCCCTTTAATTCAGAAATATTAAATTTCTAACAAATATTATGGATCACATTTCACAGATAACATAGATTACACATAGAATCTACGGTACCTTAATCGTGCCATAACAAGACAAGATGACTACTGTTTCGACTACTGTTGTTGCGACATAGTTAAGATTTAATCACTGTCCAATTCGCACAACAAAGTGCACAGATTTTGTCTTGGAAACAATCGAAGATTGACGAAGAAGAACGGATATACTATGAGCGAAAAGCTGACTAATCAGTCAGCTTCGGAACTAGAATCGTTTTTTCATGGACAATGATGACTAATCCCATTTTCTTTGACTAAGCTGTACGCCATCACCTGCACACGATCCACGCGATGGCTGAAATTCTTCGTACATTTGCTGTCGCACCGGGATACACCGGGACCGTGGTTGACTCAAACCGCGTCGTTCTTTCATTTAGGTATTCCTCGTATGGCACATTGCATTGAATCACGTACTGGCGCGCGTATATCTATAGGGTGTCGAAAGAAATGCGTTCCATAGCCTTAGTGAATTTATTATATTACTATATTATTTATAATAAAATTCATTCAAAAACCAGTAAAAGTTAAAATAAATAATCCATTTAGTGAACATTCAATGACGATTTAAAAATTTTTTAATAATTTGAAGACATTTTTTAATTTTTTTTGCATTTAGATTTGTAAAAAGTTGATTAAATATTTATTGTCATTATTTTTTTCTTGACAAATGCATAAAAAAATGAAAATATTAATCAAATTATAAAATAACATTTTAGATGAATAATATAATTTTTCGATAATAAATATTATTTTAATTAATGTTATTTTTGATAAATGTTATTTTTTATATTTTTTATATTTATATTTTTAATGATTTTGAATTTTATAATTTTTTATTTATGTATTAATCTTATATAAGAATAGACGTTACAAAACAAGTATGTAAATTAATCATTCTTTTCTACAATGTTTCCTGCTATTAATACAATCTCTATAAATTGCTCCGAATACTAGATTAAACTACACAATGATTGAATTTAATTTGCGTTGTAGATATTTCAATGTAAATTAATCGATGTTAATTGATGATATGTCATAATACTTTTCCATTTCTTATTTATTATTATTATGTAGTTCAAATCCCATAAGAATTAATAAGGAATATCTAGCAGCCTCATGATATATCATTATATCATTATATATGATATATCATTATATCATTATATATATATATATATTTATTAATTTTTTTTTTGACTTTTTTAAATATTAATCACAAATTCTTTCAAATTATCAATAATGATTTGAAAATTATATTTTAAAAAAATGTAAAATAAAATAAAAATGTAATATAACTTTAAGAAGTAGAAGTTTATATGTCATTTTGTATCTATTCTTCTCTAAAAAGAAAGAAATTAAAAATTTTAATTAAAAAAGAAAGTTATAACAAATATATAATATTATATATATTATAATATATAATATTATATATATTATAATATATAATATTATATATACAAATATAATAAATATCAATTCCTATTTTATAATATACTTTCTACATATATTTCAATAAAATATAATATCATAAATATAATATCATTAGTCAATATTAATATCATTTATCATAATAATATTAATATCATTAATATCATAATATTAATATCATTTTCCTTTTTTTTATTTTTTATTTTTTTTCCCTTTAAACACGTATAGAATCAAAACGATCACATTGCGCAGAAATTCTATTCATTAAATTTCCTGTCAATAAATCAAACGTGTCGTTTTCGTTATGACGCATTTTGTATAATGAGAATTTAATATTCCTGGTGATGAGTTGCGCTACTTCCAATGCATCAGATCTAAGTAAGTACGTATATATGCAGACATACGATGTACCACCATTGTATAGGGGTAAATGAGAGTTTACGAAACAACCAGAAGAATAACATGGGAAGTGCTTTACGTGTTGCATTCCTATCACTTGGCTCACCCAGACATTTATCGTGACAATTCATGTTCTCAAAACATACATCCTTCTCATTTTATCAACTCATAGAAGGCGCGGCTTACTTTCAAAGATAACGCCTTTTGATATGAAATCCTTTAATTTTATAGCATTATTGATCAAATCATAAAGATATTTTAAATTTGAAATGATTATAGTGATTAAAATAATAAAATTAATAATTTATAGTATTATTTTGTTTTTCTTTTATCTCATTTTTTTCACGATGTTATTCCATCATATAAATAACATAAATTGACTGTAAAATTAACTTTTCTGATATTTAAACTAATGTAACATTATAATATCTAAATATAGAACAAATAGTACAAGCGATGAATAATTCTCATCAAATTTATTTTAAACTATCTTAAAAAATTTTAAATTATAATTTAAATATATTCTAATTCTCTTAACTTAATATATCATAAAAATAATAAATATATTAAATTAGTCAAATCATATATTGTATCTGATCTTAATTGAATAATATTTTTTTTAGTTGCAAATTGTGACTACGTGATATCTAATAGAATTTTTTCGATTTTAAATTACCTTTGTGTACTTGATATTCCTACATGTGCGTTGAAGATCATTGTATGATTTCGAGGTAAAGTTCGGGAGTTCTTAGGCGTAGAAGTATATGTTGGATTTAGAATAGTTTCATCTTCTAACCAAACAACACCACTTTTTGGATGTATTTTATGTTGATCTTTAACTCGCTTCCGTCTTCTTCGACGCCTTGGTGTTTCATTCTCATAAAATTCAGAACAGTTGGATCTTTCGGAATCAGAGAAACCAGAATCCAAGCTTCGAAGATCTTGACTCAAAGGACTGCATGATCTATTTACCAAACCGATATTATTCTCGTCTTTTTTATTTTTAATCTTTGTATCCATCGTAGCTCTATAAATAAAAATGATTTAAAAAAAAATGATTTTTTATTTTCTATATAAATTCATATAATTTTATATATATAAAAAAAAAAATATTTATGAGACAATTTTATAAAAAATCAATATGTATCAATAATGTATTTTCTTAAGATTTTTTATTAAACTAAATTAAATTAAATTAATTAAATTAATTAAAATAAATTAAATTAAAAAAGACTAAAATAATAGTAATTTATTTTGCTGAGAATATTAGAATAATATTTTATTCTAATATTAATATAATTAATTTTTTTAAATGCAATAATTCTATAAGTTTAAACTATAACTTCTATAAGTTTAAATACATTTAAACTAATTTATGTTATAATAATAATTTATATTTGAAATTAATTAAATAATAATAATAATGTCCTAATTATTACATTATTGTATGTAAGAAAAATACGGTAATCTGCGAAATATTTCTATTGAATTGAAATTTATAAAAATTAATAAAATACATTAATAAATTAAAGAAAAATCGAAAGAATTTAAAATAGTTAAATTATTCATTTTAGTTATAAAATTATCTATTCCATTAAATATGTTGAATATTTTTTATAAAAAAAAATATATATTAAATATAAAAATATATTACATATAAATAAATATAAAAATTTTTTTATAAAAATAAACAAATATAAAAAAATACAAAACTTACAACAGAATAAAAGATAACACTTAAACATGGAAACAATGCTCAACTTATCAAGCATTGTTATGATTAAAAGAATTATACACGAGAATAAAGGTATCGATGTCTTCCATGAATACAATCCAAAGTTATAGAGCAATTCTTAAACAGCTTGAACGCTTGAAAACTTATCGTATGGTTCTGAAGTAATTAAAGTTGCAGCGGTATGAAAGTAGTGTTGTGTGTCAATGTGATAAGGAAGAACCGATAATAAATGAATAAACGTGCTCGAATGTAAACTTATAACATCACAAATTTTATTCCGATTAAAATAATTTTACTTACGTTTGAATTATATTTTCTTCATGAATCGTTGTCATAGAATATTGTTCATTGTTTTCCTTTGGACAGACGCGAATAGCCGTTATATTTTCACTATTGATCGTATCGCTGGTATCATTGATGCTGGATGAATGTTCTTCCTCTTTGGTTATTTCAAAATTATATGCGATATTTTGTTTGATTTTGGTGAAATCATTTTTCGAGGCGAAAGGATCTAAACTTTCTAGATCCTGAGACGCCATGTGATTCCAGAACACTTTACTTTGATGTCTCTTGAATGCACTCATCTTTTCTATTCGCTTTCCTCGACCAACTTTCGCGACTCTAATTTTTTTTTTTTGTAAAGACTTCAATATTGAATTTGTTAAAGTAAAAATTGGTTAAAATATTTCGAAAAAGTTGGTTAGAAAATTCGATCGACGGATGAACAGTGGAACAATGCGATAGCACACTAGGGTGGTTTCACGATTCAGTAGAGTGGAACGACCCTCCTATGGGTCGCGTGCTCGAAGAACCGTATGGTGTCCGATGCAACCCCCATCGAAGAATCCAATCGTTTTTCGCATTGATATCAAGAACTTCTTTTTATACTTTCATTGCATTTACTTTTTTCTTTTTTAATTATATTTTCTAAACAATTTTTATTCAAATTATATTTTTTAGTATACAATAAAAATATTAAATTTATAATTTATAAAATTTAATTAAAAACTTTAAAAATATTTCATTGCATCATTAAATAATTTGATGATTAATTTTTAATAAAAAAATTTAAAATTCATTTTATTTTATCGTTAAATATTAATCACGTTTTGCGTACTTATAGTTTAGTAGTTTATAAGAGATATAACATATTGAAATTCTTCGAAATTTATGTAATAAATCGATAATCTATTTGAATGCATTTGAATCAATCGATCTAAACGTATTGATGCTTCGCGAACGACTGACTCGGATCGAGTCGCTTCCGACTTCCTTCCATAAGTCGCGCTCCCTTCCCGCCTCGAGTTCGTAAGCCAACTCGTATGAAAATAAAGCTCCTCCCCTTTTCTTTTGTCGCCTTTACAGGGTGCATATTCCAGTATGTGTATCCTTCTGTGTTCCAGTATGTATAATCCATGTGTAACCGCCAAAGCGTAACTAGGTGCATTCTTCGTGGAATGCAATGGCGTAAATAGAAATTCAGTTTAACTAGTTTTTTCAAATGTAGTATTATTGAATATAAATATTTCGATTCCTACAATAATTAAAAACTTTCAATTAATTGTTTAAGAAGAGAAATTGCAAAACTTTAATTATTATTATTATTATTATTAATATTTACATTGGTTTTTATTATTATATATATTAGCAAAACAAAAATAAACACGAATACATTATATTTATGCAAAAATTTAAATTATTTTATGTTTAATATTCGCTCTTGAAATATAAATATATAAATAAAAAATACTCTATATTTATATAATTAATTTTCATATTTAAAAAAATAATAATAAAAATATATAAAAAAGATTTATAGATTTTTAAAAAAAAGAAAATATATATAATATATAAATACATAGTAAATACAATTATATATATATATATATATATATACGTTATACCGATGTCACGAAATCACGCCAATGTTATTTTTAGAAGCCAGGTGTGACTCCCGATTCTCTATCATGTTCACGTATGTACACGTGGGGGTCGGTTTCTCCCCTGTGAAAACAGACCGAAGAGGCATTTCCACCACCACCGGATCTAGGGGCACGCGCCGCTTCGAACATCTGCGTAAAATGCTTTCAGTATTTCGTATCGCTCTATATATGAATGATTCATTTAACTCATGTTTTTTTAGATCTTAAATATTGATTTAATTCGATTGGTCAAATTCGCGATTAATTATGCAAATCATCATTAAAATCGATCATGCAAGTGTTCTTTTGTTGCAAATTATTTGTTACCATTTACATGTTTATATGGAATTACTATATAAATTGAAAATTTATAAAATATTGAGAATAATATTTAATTTATTAAATATTTTATACTTGTATTATAATTGCATTATATTGCATAATAGATTAAATGATAATTTTTCTGAATCTTAAGTAAATCTACAATACAAAAAATATTTATAATACAAGAAATTATGTTTGATGAAATTATAATTTCTGATCATGATTATGATTGAAATGCTTTAAACAAGAAATATAATGTATAACATAGTACAACATAGTTTCGTTCTTTGATTCCTATTTAATAATTATTTTTTGAATTAATAATTTTATTCTTTAGAATTTGATTACTGATATATTCTCTTAATATATCTCTGATATATCTCTGATATATTCTCTTAATATATGTCTGATATATTCTGGACAATATTTGGATGTAGGAAGTTCTTGAATGTGATAATAAGTTCCTTCTGGTATTATATTATATGATAATAAATCTCTTATTATCCTTAATCATATTATAGAATCGGTTAAAAAAATATTTTCTATCTAGTTATATATCCAATTTAAAGTTTTCTTAATGATTCTTAAAAAGTGAAATTATATATTACAATAAAGCATGAAAATACAATATAAATGAAAATATATGAAAATACAATCGTAATCATTAATTCACACATGTAATGATTTTATATTAAAATATATACGGATATGAATATCATATATATGCATTAAAACATATAATATTAGTTTTATAAAATAATATTAGTTTTACTAAAATGTTAAAGCTAATTTCGCGTACATCAGTTATTCCGCGTACATCTTCATAGATCATTTTCCAATGAAAAAAAAATAACGAGAGAAACTAAAAATCTAATAAATAATTAATATATATCATATATTATTAGTAATCTAGCTCGTTTTCACTATAACAACTAGCATTGTTAGAAAATATCACATATGTTCGAAAATGTCTACTACTAGCTATGCATTCCATAAAAGCATCAAAGGGTCTACAACCCCTATTGTATAGTAAAGATCTGTATGAAATGAGGGACAGCTGGATATAAACCGTTATTTAAAGGTGCATGCGAGCTATCGAATCCACGTTTGATCATGAAATTTAAATTTCTGATAAAAATTCGAAACATCATAAATCATAATAATACATCATAAATAATTTTAATAATTTGAATTGCATATATATATAATTGATTTTTTGCCTGAAAATAAATTTTGAGANAATAAATAATAGAAATATTCATATAAATTTTTTCTATTATTTCTTATTTAATTTCTTATATTATTATAAGATTATATTTTATAACTTTTTGATATAATATTTATATAAAATTATAGAGTCTATGAAACATAATCTTAAAATTAATAAATTTTATATAATCAAATTAATATAAATTAATTTATATAATTAAATTAGCAATTTAATACATTTTAATATGTTATAATCATAACAATTGTATTGAGAAACTTATAATACACATACTTTTGAATAGAATAAATATTGGTATTTAATATAAACTTGACATTTAATAATATTTAGTAATAAATAGTGAAAGATGAAGTATATTTTTATACTTAGAAAAAATTATTCAATTAATGAATATATCTTTTTTATATAAAATAATGGAATCAATACATCAATTTATATAATTTAACGTATTTTTTATAATAGTCACTTTTATCTATTGATGCAATATAATTAAATTAATAACATGGATATTATTGAATAAACGTTCAAATATATAATAAAAAGAAATGAACTAGTATATATACGTATATAAATAATATATTTATATAATTAATATATAATAACTTTATAATATAATAATAAAAACAATATAATATAACTTTAATTTATATTATCGTGTTTTTCACAAATTTTAAAAGGAATAAAATTTAGAATCGGATCAATTATTTGAGCATAATACGCCATCTACACATTAAATTAGAAAATTCTCGTTGTTTTTTGCTAGTATTCAATGAGAGGTGTTTTCTGTTTTCTAAAAACTTTAAACTCATTATTGATTGGTATGAAATAATATAAGTTTTTTATATTAACCAATCAGAGATTCGTTATAACGGAATATATAAAGGAAATTTGCTTTGGCGTTTCAAGTAAAAGCGCCATCTATAGATCGGCTCAATTCCTTGTAATTGTGCTTTACAGTGAGGTTCGATAAACATTATTCAATTATAAATTGTGCTCTTTATCACTTTAACAGTGATTTATAATGGTAATTAATCAATTAATTTTATCTTTGTATTATGTGCATCATGAAATAATATTATTATAACAGCATCAGAAATGGTAATGAATAATCTTTCATTACCCGGTATCGTATAATGGTGTGACAAATGGCGCACGTGTGTCAAAAGACAAATTTTTTTTTTTTTTATTAAAATATTTTATTATATTTTATTATTAAACGCTTAATATTAATTTTTGCAAAAAAATGAAATTTTTTCTTAAATATAATAATATAGTTTAAAAATACTTAAATTTTTTTTATACTATTTTGATTTGCTTCATATCAATCATATTTCATATTAAGTAATAATTAATAATAAAAAAAGAACGAAAATTATAAATTATGAAAACTAAATTAAGATATAATATTTTTTAATTTGTATCTTTTAATTTATGTGGAAAATTTTTATTATTATTTGTAATAATATTGAAAATCTATATGAATATTTGCAGGTTTCCTTGAATCCTGTCAGAATCCTCAAAAATGAGGCAGAGGAAGAAAAAGCAGAAATTGCTAGATTAAGTTTATTTGTAGGAGCAATAGCTATTGGTGATTTAGTAAAGTCTACACTTGGTCCTAAAGGTATGGACAAGATATTAGTAGCTCATGGTCGATCTGCAGGACAAGTTCAAGTTACCAATGATGGAGCAACAATTCTTAAAAATGTTGGTGTAGATAATCCTGCTGCTAAAATTTTAGTAGATATGTCTCGTGTACAAGATGATGAAGTTGGTGATGGTACTACTTCTGTAACTGTTCTTGGTTGGTATAATTTTTTTTAATTTATCTAATTATTATTTATATTTTTTATATAAAAAATTTTAATATTAACGATATTTAATATATAATATTTAAAATAATTATTTTTTACTTTAGCTGCTGAATTATTAAGAGAAGCAGAAAAATTAATTGATCAAAAAATTCATCCACAAACTATAATTGCTGGTTGGAGGAATGCAACAAATGTAGCAAGAGAAGCTTTAAAAAATGCTACAGCTGATAATTCTGCAGATCCCGAACGTTTCCGTGAAGATCTGTTAAATATTGCTCGCACGACTCTGAGTTCAAAAATTCTATCCCAACATAAAGAACATTTTAGTAAACTTGCAGTAGATGCTGTGATGCGTCTTAAAGGATCTGGCAATTTATCAGCTATTCAAGTAATTAAGAAACGTGGAGGAACTTTAGCTGATTCATTTCTTGATGATGGATTTTTGTTAGATAAAAAGCCTGGAGTACATCAGCCACAAAGAGTAACTGATGCACGTATACTTATAGCAAATACTCCTATGGATACAGATAAAATCAAAGTAAGAAAGAGATGAAAAAAAATATATAAAAATATAAAATAATATAAATCTATAATAATTATATAAAATTTAATATAATACATATTTTCGTTGTTTTATAGGTATTTGGATCTAGAGTTAGAGTTGATTCAATGGCAAAAATCGCAGAATTAGAAGCAGCAGAAAAAGAAAAAATGAAAGTAATATTATTAATCATATTATAGTTTATATATAATTTTAAAGAATATTATATTTATTTTTAATTATTGCCTTCAATTTAGGATAAAGTTGACAAGATTATAAAACATGGCTGCAATGTTTTTGTTAATAGACAATTAATTTATAATTATCCAGAACAATTGTTTGCTGATGCTAATATTATGGCTATTGAACATGCCGATTTCGATGGTATCGAACGACTTGCTCTTGTTACTGGTGGAGAAATAGTCAGTACTTTTGATAATCCTGATATGGTGAAACTTGGCAAATGTGATCTTATTGAACAGGTAGATTTGAATATTTTTAAAATTGTAGAATGTTTCTAATGCTTTATTATTTTTTTAGGTGATGATAGGCGAAGATACTTTATTACGATTTTCAGGAGTTCCTTTAGGAGAAGCTTGTACGGTAATCATTAGGGGTGCAACCCAGCAAATTCTTGATGAAGCTGAGAGGTCTTTACACGATGCGCTTTGTGTATTATCAGCTACCGTTCGCGAATCAAGAATTGTTTATGGTGGAGGATGTAGTGAGATGATAATGGCTTGTGCCGTTATGAGAGCTGCTGCTTCTACTCCTGGAAAAGAATCAGTTGCAATGGAATCTTTTGCTCGAGCATTGCAACAATTACCTACTGTTATTGCTGATAATGCTGGTTACGATTCAGCTCAACTAATTAGTGAATTACGAGCTGCACATAATTCTGGTGCAAATACCATGGGTTTGGGTATGTTTATTTTTACAATTATTACTGGTAAAAATACTAATAAATATCATAATAAGTAATTAACTACTTTTATCTCACAATAACAGATATGGAACGAGGAAAAGTAGGCTGTATGAAACAATTAGGAGTAACTGAATCTTGGGCTGTGAAGAGACAAGTTCTACTTAGTGCAGCAGAAGCAGCAGAAATGATTTTACGTGTGGATGATATTTTACGAGCAGCGCCCAGAAAGCGTGTTAAGGATCGTGGACGTTGTTAATTACAAATGTTCATTTATTGCTTTATTTGTATTGCTTTTTTTCATATTATAATCAAATAATAAACTATTTAGCTTCATTATTTTGTTAAGAAATATTGATATTAATTAAACATATTAATCATTTCTTGAATGCTATATATTATTTTGCGTTATAAATCTTATATCGCTATTCAAAAGAAAAGTATAAAAGGGATTTAAGTATGAAAAATACATACATTTTGTAATCATCATTTTTTATAACAATATAACAGATTTAACATCAATAAATGCATGATATCTTGAAGTATATTTTATTCACTAAAGCTCTGCATTGAAAATTAAACAAAATTTATAATAATATTGTAATATCGTAATTTTAGTTTTTATTTCAAAGAATAAAAAATCTGAGATCTGTAAATATTTTTAGTATATTTTTCATATATTGATAACATTATGTGATTATGTAAATTATATCATTGTGAATTATCACTATCTATTTTTAAATATTAAATTTACATCGCATATCTATATTAATCAATGCAAAATTTATAAAATGACGAAATATATTTTTAAAGATACTAAAATTATCATTAAATTTATTTAATGAAAAGATTTAAATAGAATATTAGTTTCTCTACTCTAATATGCAAATCTTAATTTTGAATCATAACCAAGTTTATCAAGATTAGGATTACAAGCAAAGTTGATCATTGGAGGTGGACCACACATAAGTACCATTGTATCAGATGATGGAGGAAACATATGATCTTTTATCATATCTGCATTTATATGACCTGTACTATATTGCCAATTTTCACTACTAGTATCTAATGTATACCAAAGTTTCAATTTGTTAGGATAATTCTTTGCAATATCATCCAATTCATCTCGAAGTAATATGTCTTTTTCTGTTTGATTGGCAAAAAGTAAGGAAGTTTGAGTTTCATCAGTAGAATCCTTTATTATAGCACGAATTAATTGAAGCATTGGTGTGATTCCTGTTCCACCAGCTAGCATCACAATCTATATTAACAATATAATAAAAGAATATTTTATTTTTAAAATTTATGATTAAAAAATATGATTGCATAAATTTAATGTACATACCTTTTTAACATTATATTCTGTAGGTGGATCTTTTCTTAAAATTTTTACAGAAAAATTTCCATGACCTTTATAAATAAGTCGACCAGAAGGTCCTCTAAAATCAACTGTCTCCCCAATTTTCAAATCTTCTAAATATTGGGACATTTTTCCTCCTTCAGGGAATTTTGGATGTACATTTTTAAAATATACCTACGTATATTTTTATTTATAATTTAAAATAGATATATCTTCTATTTATACATGTATATGAATCATATTACTCACTTTAATAACAAGATCTACATAACCATGATCATCATCACTTGATACTGGTGTATAAGAGCGTATAACAACTTCATCTCCAATTTTTACAGTTAAATGTACATGTTGACCAATTGGTAATCCCAATATGTGATCTGATGTTGGCAATGCAAATCTAAATTTTCTTGTATCATGACTTAATATATCCTTTTTTATTAATGGTAAACTATATTTAACTACTGGATCAACTAATAAAATAGGAGATTTCTTTTTTTTATCACTATTCCAACATTTGTAAAATTTAACTGCTAATCCAATTACAGCTATAGTTCCTACAGCAGCTAATACTGATACAATCTAAAAAGAAATGTAAAAATTCAAAATTATAAGAATAAAATATATAAAAACAAATAATTATATAATAAATATATGTAATTGTTTTATTGAATGATTTTTTTTAAATTATTTATTGTAATATATCACACAATGACATGTTAACTAACTTAACTGAAAATCATTCAAAAATTATACACAAGTAGTTTGCTTAATTTTAGTAATATGTAAAACTTAAATTAAATTAAAAATGCAAATTTATAAAATTTGTAAGAAAGTTTCAATCATAAATGTATGTATTGAACATTATTTTTATATATAAATTAATTTTATAATTAAATATTTAATCACAATATTTCTTTTTAAAAAGTTAATTAAAAATTGTTTAAATATTTAAGTAAAACATGTAACTCATTTAAAAAATCATGTTATCTCGTAAATTGTGTAGTTTTTTTTACGATAAATTTATTTTTTTCAGATATCAAAAAAAATTAACAAAACTATCCATAAAATAATAAACTAATTCATAAGATCGGTTTCTTGAAATTATTCATAAATATAACATGAATCTTTGAAATTTTCAATTAATATAAGGAATAATTTACGTTTTTTTATATATTTGAATGTACTTACCAGTGATCGTAAGTTTGACATTGCAAATCAAACCACACGTGGTTAAAACCTTAATGAAATAATGTTCAGAATAAGGCTAAAGTCGTAATCATATAAGAAAAGAAGAAGTACATACAAAAAGATTCCGTAAAATATATGAATATACTAATATTATTAATACTCTGAGTATATTGAAAAATTATTGAAAAAGAATATAGAAATGGCTCGTTATTAGCTTTCAAAGAATTTTCATGCGCAAGCTTCACCGGTTTCTACATGGGGTCAGATACAAGGCGCTATCCTTTAAAATAGATCTTACTTTCCTCAATCTAACATAAGAATAGTTCTACTATTCCAATGTATTTATAGCTATATTACTAGAAATATTACAAATATAAAATAATTGCATTTTTATATATTGAATAAATAACATCAAAGAAAGGTTATTTCTTTGAATTATTGCTGAAAAGTATGATAATACGAAACTTTTATTATATTAGTATTTATATGATAAGAAAATTTTATTAATTATGAATGTATGTAAATATAAATATAAATATA